CCCACCACAAGCCCTAAATGATGGCGCCAGTGGATCAGAGAGGAAACCTCCAAGACTGGGAGCCAACATAAACCTTTTTGCTCTTTGTACATTGATTCTAAGGTATGTGTTATAGCAACATCGAGCTCACACCCTTGGGAAGGAAAGGGCACTGAAGACCAAATGGCAAGTGGCTCCGTCAGGATCCACATCAGCTCCAAGGTGGCCAGGCTTGGGACCCACACTTAGTTACTTCCTTCTTTCTGCTTGTATTTTATTAAGTTGCAACGATGTGATACTTCCCACATATAAAAAGCACATGAAATAAAATCCATTTAATTCTCACCCAGTAAGACAGAAACAACTATGATCTTAACTAACAGAGAAACTTAGGCACAAAGTAGTAAAGTAACTTGCTTCTGGTTGCACCTCCAGTAAGTGGCAGAGCAGAAATGGGATCCAAAACTCTGGTCTCAGAGTCTCCTCGTTCTGTGGCAACTTTACTTAGGTGGCCACCTGCAGGAGCCTCTACCCTGGATGTGCACTCCACCCCTCTCCACAAGGTCAGGTCCCTTTCCTTGAGCTGAGCTGGGCTGAGTGACCTCGGCTAGTGCAAATGACTTCCTGGAACCTCATAGGTTTGCACTGTCTGCCCCAGACCATGCCTGCTCAAGGGTCCACCTGAGCCCAGCATCCCAGCCACCACCACCAAGGAGCCACAGTCGTGAGTGAAGATCCCACAGCCTTCCAGACCCGATGACACCAGCTGAACACCACACATGACCTCAGACTAGGCCACAAAGAGCAGAAGAATCACCCAGCTGAGCCCTGACCAGATCTCTGACCATAAATCTACTCATCTGCCTTGCATGGCAGCCGTGGGTTCCATTCCAGGATGCCATCCCTGCTGGCCACCTGGAAAATCCCTCTCCCCAACTCTCCACCTTCAGCTCCTGCACTACGAGGCCTTGTCCAATTCCCTGCCAGGCCCCACCCCAGACAGATGCCAGCCCTTCCTGCTCCTCCCACACCCACAGCACCAACCATACAGTCTCATGGTGCCTGACTGTGTATCTGTCCCCCCTCTTTGCAGGCTCGTGCTCCATCCATCCTCCTCCTCCCTCTGCCTTAGCAGAGCCCAGCATCTAGTCTGATGGCAAAGACGGGCTGAACACAAGCAGTCCAGTTTACCAAGTGACTTTCCATACCTCTAAGTGAGCATATAGGGCCCTTCAGAGCAGTGTCTCACCTCCACACTGCTGGTGTTGTGTGTGTGACAGTTGCGTGCAGGGAGGGGCCACCCTGTGCCTTGCTGGACATACAGCAGTAGCCCAGCCTATCCACTCTTGCCCCAGTTTACCACATGGCTGCAGATATTGTCAAATGTTCCCCCAGATGGGGGACAAAATCACGGTGACTGAACAGATGGCTGTAACACCTGTGTGGTCACACAGCACCTGCCAAGTACCCCCAAACCACATGCCATGTGGCCCTCGGGGGTGCCTCTCCCCTGCATGCCACACAGTGACCAGCAAGTTCTTGCCGTAGCAGCGAGTTGCCCTAAAGCCGTCCCCCTTACAGCAGGAGGCCAGAAAGGAGACGCCAGCTGTCCCCACCCACGGCCTGCGGGCCTGCTCTCTCAGAGCAGTCAGAAGGAGATTCTCCCTGGATTGGGGACTGAACTCAAGCCCTTCACCCTGAGCTGCTACATCCCCAGCCCTTTTTTTATTGTGAGACAGGTTCTGCCTAAAATGCTAAGTTGCCCAGGCTGGGCTCAAACTTGCAACTGTCCTGCCTCAGGCTTCCGAGATGCTGGGATTAGAGGCGTGCGCCACAATACCCAGCTGAGAGCACCCTTTCTGAGTCTTTACCTCAACACTGGCCTTTTCCATCACTCCATAAGCAACACCATCTCCAACAGGCCTTCCATAGCATGTTCAAAGTCACAAACCCAGTCACGGCGCCAACTTTCCAAACCTGTGCACGGTCCCCACTGCCTGCCAGAAACACCAGAAAAAGCTCAGACATGGAAACCAGACCTCAGATCCCTATGTGAGAAGGACTCTATTCAGCAGCAGCAGCAGCAAAACTCAGAACAGCAGCTGCACCCCTCATCTGAGCACCCTCGGGTGCCACGGCCCACACTGAGCCCCTTTGTGATAACCTCGTGGGGTGGGCACGGATGTTGCACCCATTTACAAACAAGGAAATGGAAGCTTCCGCAAGGGGAGGTCACCAGCCAAGGTCACAGGGCAAATCCAAGACTGCTGGGAGTTGAGCCCCACCTGCCGGGACCTAATCAACAACCCGGGCTCCCTGAGGGTCCCAGTGTCATTCACTCACTGCTGTACCTCTGGTACCTCGGACAGAGCCCGACAGCCAGGCATTCAAATGGGGGAGGGCAAAAGACAGCAGGGAAAGGGGGAAGAGGGAGGGAGGGAGCGGTGGAACTGAAACCCGCTGGTTATCAGGCTCATGGGCACTCCCAGGAGGAAGAGGAAATTACGAGTCTCCTCCCCGGGGCAGGTGGAATAGAATCAACTGACTTTGCCTAAGGGCTGGGGAGAACTACAGTACAGGTCAAGGGTTACAAGCCAACACCTTGTACCGGTCAGAATGAGTTTCCGCAGAAAATTTCAGGTGTTTCTGATGGTCGCCAGGTTTGGGACCCTCAGGTCAGGGGGAGCAAGGACCTGCTGTCCACTCGAGATGCGGCACAGCTGTATCTGACACCAGCGCTGGTCTTCCCCCTGCAGCCCTACCCGAGCTGCGACAGTTCTGGGCCACCTGGGAGGTGGATGAGAGGAACACAGTGATATGGGGGGTGGATGGCTGCGTCCGCATACAGGCATTTGCAAGCCTGGCTTCCAGGTCCCTGTCACCTGGGACCTGCCAGCTCGGGGCCAGAAGAAACCTCTGGGAAAGCTGTTTGTGTCGCTCAGGATGAGATCAGTTGGTGGAGAATGAGGCCAGGCTCCCCGGATCTCTGCTTGCATGGCTGACTGCAGAACCCACACTCAGCAAGTGGGGAGACTGGGGAACAGCCTGGTCAGACCTAGCACATTCTTCTGTGGGGTGCTGTCACACCTGCCCTTCAAAGGTACAATACGCTGCGCTCTTGCTCAGAAATACATCTCCTAAGCAGTGGTCCTTTGGGTACACTCACAGGTGTGCATAAAGTCTAACCCCAGGATGACCCTCCAGCACTACTGGTGGGAAGGTAAGTTGGGCAGCCTCATTGGAAAGCAGGCTGGCAGCTCCTAAAATGATTGCACAACATGGCTGGGCATGGTGGCGCATGCCTATCATCCCAGTACTTGGGAGGCTGAGGCAGGAGGATTGCTGCAATTTCAAGACCAGCCTAGGGCATATAGCGAGTTCAAGGCCAGCCTGAACTACACAGCAAGACCTTGTCTCACACACACAAAAAAAACTAAATAAATACATACATAAAATGATCACACAGAGTTGGCACAGAACCCAGCAATGCCATGGCATACACCCAAAAGAAACAAAAACATTCAAATGTGTCATACTCATAGACCAACTCCCTACGACAAAGGTAATCTTTACATACTGCAAACATGTACTAATAAGAATTTACAAATCAAACACGAAAGGAATAAAGACATACACCCACCCAGAAGCTTATACACAAATATTCCCCCCAGCACTGCTCATATGAGCCAAAAGGCAGAAACAATCAGATGGCCATCAACGGATACATGGACAAATTATGGAATATTCTTATGCTGTGGTGTTATCTAGGAGTGAAACCCTGATACATGCTACAAGGTAGATAAACCTTGGAAACATTATGCTGTGAGGAAAAAAAAGCCATCAAAGGTCACACAGTGTAAGATTCCATCTGTGTGAAACACCGACTTTTGGAAACAGAAAGCAGATTAATGATGGCTTTAGGCTAGGGCCAGGGGGTCAGGGAGACAGATGGCTCAAAGGTACACGGTCCCTTCTTAAAGCTTCTCTCTCCTTAAAACTTCTACAGGTGAATGTGGTGGTGCTTGCCGTACTACACTAAGTCCCTGAAAGGAGGGTTTTAAATGGCCAGCTGCATGGTACGTCAATTACACCTCAACAAAACAGCTATTTTTAAAAAGAAATGAGAAGCATAGTTAGTGTAGCTAATGACCCAGACTGGGAAAGAGAAAGTCTACCTCTGAGTTAAACTGTTACACTGTGGCCAGCCACTGGGGCCGCCATGAAGGAATGTGATCATACTGATAAGCAGCCTCCCCCAAGGTAATGATTAAGTGAACAAAGCAATCAAGGTGCAGAAGTGTGCCGGAGTAGTTCCCATTCCTTCACACATATACACACTTACACCGGACCTTTCTGCAAGACAGAAGGGCCTGGTAATGACCTCGTCTCTAAGGCAGGAATGAGGAGCTGGAGAGAAAGACATTCATCTACAACTTGTTGGATGCCCTGACTCCGGAAAGCACATTTTAATTTTTCAATTGCAAACTAGTTAATAAAAGACACAAAGCAAGTCTATGCATCTGAAAGTTCCTTACACGCCCCTACTCTATTTGTTAAAAAGTCTCAAAAACCTCAGAAGCTAAGCCAACGGCCCGAGGGAGGCGGGGAAGGGGAGAAGTGGTGGTACCAGCACCCAGCACCAGGACCAAAACTTGACTTGAAAGCTGCAGCTCAGTGACAGCTCTCTGAACTTGGACCCAAAATGCAGGCCCATCGCCACTGCGGTGTGCAGAGAAACACAGCCAGCATTTGGCTACCATTAGCCCGTAGGGGGGCAGAGAGCAGACCAGCCAGCGGACCACAGGGTTCCTGGTCCTGGCAGACTACCACCTCCAAATTGGCAGACTCAAAGGGGCAACACTATAATGCTTTGTTGCTACAGGGCAAAGGCCCCAGTCCCACGCCTCTGGTTGTTTAGAACGCCCTAAGAACCAATGCATGCTGCAGCAGTTGGAACTGCCACCAGCAGGAAGATGAAAAGGTGCCGGGTCCCGCACACGCCCGGCGCTGAGGGTACTCACGGAAGCCCTCGATCTTGTCCGCGGTCTTGCTCCAGGCCACCTGCCTCGTCTCCATGATCACCTGGACGGTCCTGCGCTCAGGCGTGGACTTCCGGAAGCTGAACACTGTCATGACCGTCCCCAGCTCCAGGGCTCGCTTGATCTGGCTCTTCTCGTATTCCGGAAGGGCGTCCACGTTGACCATGGTGGTCATTGTCGGACACCCCGGGGAGGAGGAAGGAGTCAGGAGAAAGGAATGGGAGGCTGCAAGAGCAGAAGAGGGCAGCGGGTTGGTATGAAGCCACTGAGAGGGGTTAGTTAACAGGGTGAGGACGTCAGGCACCCAAATCCTGTCGCACACCCAGCAGGGTGAGTTTTAGCGGATGTCAACAGGACACAGAGGTTTAAATGGGGTCCGGGCTGGGGAGGAACCCCTGACCTTGGTGACCCTGCCGTTAGGCCAGCTTTGAATAACAAAATGACCACAGCGCTGGGAGGGACTCCTCTCCCCGGAGAATGTTTGAATAGCCAAAGTGGCCCGGGCTCTGCCTTGCCAGCGCCCTTCCATCTCTATCCTGCCTCGCTAACCATCGCTTTGCTCCCTAAGCAGAATCAGGCTGAGGAAAATAAAAGCAAAACCCCTTCAGAACGGGTCTGTGGAGCAGCTGATGGTGCTGGATGGAAATGAGCCAAAAGGGCGGGAAAGGTCCAGACCCAGCAGTCTCAAGCTCAAGTGCCAGGTCCCAGCGGGCAGCGGCCCTGGGTGGGCAGCTTGGCCTCCCCTTTGCCCGCTCCTCCCAGGGTCTCTGCTCACTGGTCTCCCCGCTCTGGCCCGATTCTGTTCCATTCTCCGTCTGGAGATGGTCTGAGCACACAAACAAATCACGCTGCCTTCCTGCTGAAGACCCTGCTGGAGCGCCCTGGACCTTCCTCTCGTGGTCCTGCCCCTGCTCACAGCTTCTGCCCCAAGGTGGCAGCAAGGACAAAGAGCTCCACAGGACCTGCAGCTGGGCCCCCAGGGCTGCCTCACCGGCCAGCTGCAGCCACTACAAGAAGTCACTCGGGCTGAGTCTGGTGGCACACGCCTATAATCCCAGCATGCAGGAGGCTGAAGCAGGAAGATCGCCATGAGTTCAAGGGCAGGCTGAACTACATAGCAAGACCCGGTCTTAAAAAAACAAAAGAGAGACTGGGGATATAGCTCAGTGGTTACAGCACCTGCCTGGCAAATGCAAGGTCCTGAGTTCAATTCCCACCACAGGCGCGCGCACACACACACAAAAAAAAATTCACCCAAACCCTCCAGCCCTCTTTCCATTCACATGAAAGCAATGTTACCAACTCCTAAAGTTGTTCTGAGGACTAAACAGGATACTATATCGGGCCCTTAACACAATAATACACAGTGAGGCGCTCCTTGGACTGACCCATCATGACTATTACGGTCAATTGTTCTGTGTGCCCCTCCTCTTACTCTGAACCCCCCAAGGTTACAAAGTAGCTCTTGGAGGGGTTTCCCTTGCAAAGACCAGGGAGCCTCCAGCCTGTTCAGCCTCCCCTAAGTTGCTCAAAAGCTGGGCCTTAGTTTCCTTCCTTATACAATGGGAGTGAAGTGCCCTGCACTAGGTACTGAAAGCTACAGTATGTATGACCCTACCTCAGCCTTTAGCAGGGCTTCCCCGATCACTCCCAGGCAGCTGGTACGGGCATAAATCGAGTGTCAACTCTGCCAGGTAGAGCTGGGGGCTTGTATGCAAATCAGGGGCAGGGAGGAGGCAGGCCTTGCCCTTTGCCCCTTCCTTCCTCCATGCAGGCTAGCAGTGGGCGAACGTCGCTAATGACACCTGCTCTCTCCCTGCTGGGAAGAGGACCTGACAGTCCCAGTGTGGAGGTGAGGGCAGCAGCTGGGGCCGAGGGAGCAGTGAAGCCACCTCGGAATGGGCCTGAGAGGGCGCTGAGCTCAGGAGCTCAGAAGCTTCCAGGAAGAGGAGGAGGAGGAAGTACCCGACCCCAGTCTGCAAAGAGAACCAGGCAGGAGGGAGCAGGGTGCAGCCTGAGCGAAGGCCGGGAGGCAAGACAGGCAGTGTGTGTGTGCAGCATGTGGCCGAGTGTGAAGGCATCGCCTAGGGACAGGCCTGACACGGTCTCACCCAGGATGCCAGGAAGAAGGCGGTACCCTGGTCCGCTCTTTCTGGGAAGCAGCTCCTAATCGGGCTCCACTGGCTCTACCAGGATGCTGATCTCATCAACTCAATGAGAAAGGCCCGAGAGGAAAGTAAAGTCCTGAGAGGTGAACTTACTGGGTCAAAGTCACACAGAGCTGGATCTTTCTCAGGGCCAGCACCCAGGCTTCGGCAGCCCCTGCCTCTTCCAAGAGACAGCAAGGGACATGTCCAAGGTCACACAGCCAGGAAGTGGCAGGACTGGGATCCGAACCTGGTCTGGACACTGGCGCTGTGCACTGTGGTGCCTGCCTTGTTGCGGTTTGTGTCTGCAAGTCCCCCCCAAATCCTCACGCAGTCATGGGGCGGGATTCTAGATTTATGATTGATTCATGGTCCAAGGTTGGAATTATAGATGAGAGCGCTACCCCTGCCCTGGGGCGGGTAGTTTGCATACAGCGTAAGGGAGGGAAAGTGGCTGCCTGCCGCTGCATCTCCATTTTGCTCTTGCTGCCTTTGCTGTTTTCTGCCACCATGAACGTTTGCCCTCTGCCATGTGCCACTCTGCCTCGGAGCCAGCCAAGTATGGACTGAAACCTCCACAAACTATGAGTTAAATAAACCTTTCCTTCCTTAGTTTTGGGCGTTGGGTATTTTGTCTCAGCAACGACAGAAAAGTATCTAAGACACTGCCCCAGCCACCTGTCACTGGCCCCCCCACCTGGTGCCAAGGGCAGCCCAAGCAGGTTGAAAGCAGGAAACAGCAGCCGCTGCGCAACACCTGCCTCGCAACACCTGCCTCGCAACACCTGCCGTGAAACAAAAACCAGGACGAGGCACTCAGGTCCTCGTGCTTTCCAACTGGCTCAGGGACTCTGGGCTCCACCATCCAATCCCAGCCAGCTCCTCACTTTGTGAAGTTCAGCACCTACAGCAAGGTGGCCTCAGGGCCCTGAGCCCAGGGCAGGGCGCCAGCCATCACGGCAACCTCCACATTGCTTCTGCTTTTTCTCGTCAGAAATGAAATAGCCTCAAAATTCCTTCTTTGTTTCTGTTTCTCATCCTCAAAGGGTAACTTTGTAAAATGACTTGTGGTGTCAATACAACCACAGCTGGGATGTAATGAGCAACTTTTGTCCTTTTTTTACATTTCATGTCGTTTACTTTAAAATGAAGTTGATACACAAGAGCCGCAAACCAGGAAATAAAGAGTTCTCCTCCTGAGTGCTTGCAGACATACAGGGCAAAACAGGACACAGTTCTGTTAAAACTCGGCAGAGCTGAACCCTGAGCAGAGCCCCCCACAACACAGCTGCTGTGTCTTACACCCCAGCACCCCAGCAGTACACACATTTTTTTCACTGAAGGAACCCAGCAGTGTAGACAGGAAGTAGTATGAATTGGTTCAAGTTTGTTTGGGGACAACTTGTGAGCATCTTTTAAAATGTACAACTCACTGTGGTGCATACACCTGTAATCCCTGCGCTAGGGAGGCTGAGGCAGGATAATCACAGTGAGTTCCAGACCAGCCTGAGCTATATAGTGCATTCAAAACCAGTCTAAACTACAAAATGATACCCTGTCTCAAAAAAAAAAAAAAAAAGGCAGGAGGGATGACTGGGGATTTAGCTCAGTGGCACAGCGTCTGCCTGGCAAGCCTGAGGTCCTGAGTTCGATTCCCAGTGCACAAAAAACAAACAAACAAAAATGTAAGATATGCATACGCTTTGATCCGGCAAGCACAAAGAGCCACGCACAAAAATGTTCACATAAGCATGACTTGTAACATAAAAACTGCCTACCAGTTGGGGAGGGCCTAAATAAACAAGGGAACATGCGTATGAACAAATGCTTGGGAGCTACAAAAAGAATAAGGACGACTGACAATTTGATCTGCAAAGATTCATAGCTCTTCGATGAAAAAAGCTGCAAACCGCTGAGTGTAATCGATCGCATTTTTGTAAGGCTCTCTGTTTACAAAGCCAGGAGCTTGCGGACCACCGGAGGCTGGGAGCCGGCCCAGGAGATGACTTGACTCTATGAATGGATGTGGTGACGTGGATAAGCTTCTCTTCTTCGTGTTTTCACTCTTTTCTAAATTAAGAAACCTTCCCCAAAGTTCTCTCCCCTGCAGTTTCCCACGGGCTCCACCTAGGGAGTGCAGAGGGGCTCTGCAGGGGTCCACGTGCGCAGCTTTGCAGGGGCAGCACCCGGGCTGCGCGGACTCACCATGCCGGGTAATGAGTCTCCCCGGCGCCGCTATCCTGAAGCACCTGCGACTTTGCAATGGGGAGTCACTGTCTGGGGCCGGCGTGGACCCCCAAATTCTGTAAGGCCTCGCTTTAGAACTGAAACTAAGGACAAGGGCCTGTGCCCACGGAAGGGCCCAAAGCGGACCGTGGAGACCTCGGGGGCTCCCTTTCTACGGCCGGGCCCGGTTCTCAAGCCGCCAGGAAAGGGAGGGGGCGATGCGGCACCCAGGGGGGAAACCCAGACGGGGGTGGGGGTCTGCATCGTGCCCGGGGTCGCCCAGGGTCACACAGACGGAAGTAAAATTCAAGTTAGGGTCCTGACTGAGGCGGCCACCTGCTTCCCCGCGCCTTGTCACCCCGCAGCCCAGCAGCGTCTCGCTCCGCTGAGAGCAGGTGCTGAAAGGGCCTGACCCCAACGTCTGCAGGACGCCGAGCCCCACCTCCCTGCCCAGGCCGGGCCCATCGCTCCCCAGAGCTTCCTATAGGGCTGAAGACGAGAGGGGGTTGTCCTCTTGGGGTTCCCGAACGCGACCAGGAAAACGCAGGGCGTGCGCGCGGCTCGAGCGTGCCGTTGGGGGGCACGAACTCCTGAGCCCCCGGGGTCTGCGGAGGAACGGCCGCGCCCGCCGCCCCCCACGCCGCCGCCACCTGTGTGGACGGGAAGTGCCGTCCCCAGCGTCCCCAGGGCCAGCGCCGCCACCGGCGGCGGGGACGGGCCAGCGCACGCGGACCCCAGGGCGCCAGCTCCCTAACCCGGAGCCACCCGACCCTGCCCGATCCCATTCAAACCCGGGGCCACAAACGGCTCAGCCCCGCGACGCGGTGCCGCCCAGGGTGAGAAAGCGGCGGGCGGCTGGGCGGAGACCCACGGCGCCCCGACCCGGGACCCAGGCCCGGAGCCCGACGGCGCCCACCCCGCCCGCCCAGCCGCCCTGGCTGCTTTCAGGCGCGGGTCCCCAGGGCGCGGGTCCCCGGAGCGCGGATCCCCAGGGCCCCGCCTGCGCCCTCGCCCGCCTCCCCTCACCTGCCCGCGCCAAGATCGGGCTCGGGTCCCCGCGCAGCGCCCCCTCCGGGTTCTGGCTCCGGCTCTGGCTCCGAGCGCACCCTGCGCAGCCGGAGCTACTTCTGCTTCGCAGTGGCCGCGCCACGTGATCCGGGACACCGCCCCCTCCCGCCCGGCGCGTTCACCCCCGCCCCGCCTGGAGCCCCGCCTGGAGCCCCGCCCACGCCGGGCGCTGAGCGGGGACCCGCCCGATGCCGCTTGGCCAGGTGACAGGCACTAATGGGACGCCTACTGTGTACAGGGGTTTGTGTGCATTGATTGCACGCCTCACAGTTACCCGCCCAACGCCTGTTCCTGGCATTTGAAGTCCATCTGTGCTGGACCCCGGCCACCTCTTATTACCTTAGGCGAACACTTCTGTACCGCAGCCTCCCTCTCTCGTTCTGCAAAATGTGATCAAAACATCGCCAACCCCAAAAGAACAAAGAACGTCGCACAATAATTGACGCCCCCTTCCTGGGAAGAATGTAAAATGCTCTTTAGGCTAAAATACCTCCTTCCATTCTGGAGTTTCATGAAGCGACTTTACTCTGACCCTTCGCACGAGTCTTTGATGGATGCTATCTTTGTTGTGACTGCGGCCTGCTTTCAGAGTCACCTCGGAGATGTCCCAGCACTTCAGTGTCGCTTCTGGTTTTGTTGTTTTGGTTTGCTTTTGTTTCGGATGCTTGTTTTTGCAGTAATGGGGCTTGAACCCAGAGCCTTTCCGCTGAGCTACATCCTCAGCCCTTTTTAAATTTTTTACTTTGAGACAGGGTCTGGGTAAGTCCCCAAGTTGCCTAGGCTTAGCTTGAACTTGTGATCTCCCTACCTCAGCCTCCCAGAGTGCTGAGAGGACAGCCAATATGCCGCCACACTTGGCTAGTTTGGGCAGGGTTTTCTGTCTGTGTTCTGTTTTTTGGAGACAAGGTCTCACTGTGTAGTCCAAGCTGGCCTTAAGCTCACCCTGTTGCCCAGGCTGGCCTCAGACCCACGGTGACATTCCTGCCTCAACCTCCCCAGTGTCACTTCTACGGCATATTTGGATCTAGGAGTGTCACTCTTGCCGTAAACGCTGTGAGCAAAGCCACAGGATCTGTTTGCTGTGATCTCACACCTGTCAGTCCCAGGGACGGAGGGCGCCAGTGCCACCCAACACCAATCCTGACTGCTGTTTGTAAGGGGCCCAGAGAGACTTATGACATCAGCAGCTCCACACCGTGGAGCTGCTGTCCCTGGACTAAATGACCAAGGAATCCAATTTCTTTGCCTTGTTTTGTTTTTTTTTTTAACTTCAATTTGTATTTATTTCAATTGATCTTTGCAAGCTTCTCTTTTGGTACATGTTGTGCCATGTACATAATACATCAGGACAGCCACACACATATAATTTATTATTACCAACCCTACGTGGATATTAGGAGTAGGTCAAACCTCTTGCTGACAAAAGAGACAGTGTGGGACTGGCCGACAGCATCCCTTTAGGAAGCCCTGGCTCCACACAGCCTGTCTCACAGACGCAGGTTCTGGCTGGAATTTTCTCTGTTCCATGGGAATCAAACAAGAAAAGAACACTTGAGCTGGTCTTGGTGGTACACACCTGTAATCCCAGCAGTCTGGGAGGCTGAGGCAAGAGGATCACAATTTTGAGCCCAGCCTGGGCAATTTACGGACATGGTAAGACCCTGTCTCAAAAAGTGGGGAGGATGTAGCTCAGTGTGAAAGCCTTGGGTTTGATACCTAGCACTACAGAAAGGATAAAAGGTAGGGAGGGAGGGATATGCTTCAGTTTCAAGAATTCTTGTTTTCCTCTGCGAACTGGAACCCACAGCATTTCTGGGGTGAAAGTGTCCGAGTGTAGGAGGTGATAGGCATACAGACAGCAGTTTGCTTTGTTCCTTTTTCATATTTTGGATTCCTTTTTGCCTCGTTTTTTAACTGACCGTGCCCTTTTCCCCTCGAGGAATATCTAAAGGAATCCAGAGCCATGAATGAGAGCGTTCGGGTCTCTGTCTGTTCCTCAAACTTCCATTCGGTAGTTTCAAATAAAAGTAACTGAGATGCCAGCCCGGGCCTGCGAGGACTAGGAAATGAAATGATGCTACATGTCAGGGCCAACTGCACCACGCGTAGAGGCCCTGCCAGCCGCCAGTGGTCCTAGGGCTCCGGGTGCCCCTGTCCGTGGGGGGTGGCAGCAGGACTTGACTGGGCCGGGATGGTGCCAGGGCCCACAGGCACCGGCCCGGGTGCCAGCACTAGCAGGAGAAGTACTTTTGGAACCGCTCGGCACCGATTCATGAATGGGTCAGGAAGTGACCTCAAAGGGTGGAGGGAACTTTCTTTTCCTTTTCCTATAAAAAAAAAGAAGGGGAGAGGAGAACCTGAAAGAAGCGTCTTTTCGTCAGCAGGAGCTTGCCCTGCGCCGGCCCCTCACCCGTGTGCAGGTGCCACGCACTTGCTCCCCGAGCCCCCCTTCTCCCTGCCAGCAGGCCTCGTGCACTGGACCCCATGCCCACCTCCTCCTCTGAGAATGGTGTGACGCTGGCACCAACATCCAAGGTGCTGGGAGGACCAAGGAGATCTGGGTGCGGTGCCCGCCGCAGCCCGGGACAGGCACTTCTCATACTGCTCCTGCCCTGAGCCTCGGCCCGGAGATGCGGGCCTTCCAGCTGCAGGTCCCAGCTCTGCCCTTCCTAAGCTGTGTGACCCAGAGCTGTCCCGTGAGCCTCTCTGAACCCCCTGATCTCCTCATCAGAGACCAACCTGCGGAAGACCCAGAAGCAGCAGAGCTTTAGAGGCAAAGAAGCTAAGGGGTTGCCAAGGAGCGAGCGAGGGGTGTGTGGGCACTGCGGTGGGTAAGGGGGTGGGGGTCTCTCTTTGGGGCAGCAAAAATGTTCTAAAATTGATCACAGTGGTGACTGAACCGCTCCTTGTGCTAAAACCACTGGACTGTACAGTTGAGAGGGGTGAATTATATGGGATTTGGGATTTGGGTGTTTTTTTTTTTTTTTTTTTCTGTTTGTTTTTGGTTTGTTTTGTTCGTGCCAGGCAAGCACTTTACCACTGAGCCGCAAACCCAGCCCAACAAAGCTGTTTTTTTTAAATTCCTTCCTTAAGCTAGGCGTGGTGGCACATGCTTGTAATTTTAACACTCGAGAGGCTGAGGCAGGAGAATCACCATGAGTTCAAACCCAGTCTGGGCTATATAGTGAGACCCTGCCTAAAAACAAATACACACATGCATGTAAAATTCTCCCTAACAACCCTGTTTAAAAGCTTGGAGACTGCAGGTCCCACAGAGCACACATGCAGGTTAGCAACAATGGCTCAGCACAGTCATCATTGTTGGGGTGGTGGGGTCCCACGGGGGGCTTTCATACCAGGGCCTCCTCCCCACCACCAAAGGCTGAGGCTGCCGCCCTGGCCAGGGACCTTCCCCAACCTTTCCCTACCCCTCGGCCTGCACTCCCCAGCCACCCCCGAGAGCCCTGAGGCTGGTTTCCTTTGCCTCCATTGCTCAGTGGCTGTCAGAGCCTTGGGGACAGCTGGAGTCCCGGACAGCTGGTGGGCAGACATCTCACCCTGAATGGCGGAGAGACCCCTCCACCTCTGAAGCCTGGGCTGCTTTGAAGAGCCTTTAAATCTAGGGCTTTTCTTTGAGTTTCTCAAGCCTGGCGTCCTGCTGGGGCTTATTAATTCATTCAACAAACACTTGCTGAGTCAAAGTCCCGCTGCATTAGGGACTTGTGCGGTGCTCCGGTATTGGGCCGGCCTGGTTCCTACCTGAGTTCTACCACTCACCGTCCACATGGCCCTGGACAGTTTTTGACCTCTGTAAGCCTCCCTCCCTGTGTGGGTACACAGGGCCACCCGCGTGGAGGACGTCCGGCGGATGGTGTTTTGGGCCTCAGTGCCATTCTTGGGTAAGCAGACCCAGGGGCTGACCCCACCGTCAGCACACAGACTTGCTACCCTGGGAACGGGCAGCGTCTCGGCCTCTGCCAAGCTCGACTTGGGGCAGAATCGAGAGAGCTGACGCCAGGTATGGTGGTGCAGGCCTGGAATCCGAGCACTAAGGCAGGCTGAGGCAGGAGGGTTTTGAGTCTGGCCTGGGATACTTATTGACTTAGCAAGACCCTGTCTCAAAATAAAATAAATAAATAAATAAAATGAAAAAGGTCTGAGTTTGTAGCTTAGGGTGAAGACCCTGGGTTACATCCCCATCGCTGGGGTGGGGGTGGGGGATCAAGAGATTGGCTTGAAATGGAAGGTGATCACAGCCATTAGCATCTGGAAATCAAGTCGGCTGAGGGTGCCCTGGATGTCCGGAGCCCCTGCCCAATTTGCTGCAGAGGGAACTCCGGAACAAGGAGCTTTTCCCAGGGCCCTGGCGAACCCTGCCTGCTTCGTTGGCCAGCATTGGGTCAGGAGCCCGTTTTCAGCCTTGGCTGCTCTCAAGGAAATGGGTTCTATGCCTGGTGGATGCTGGGTATGGACCAGCATCCCCGAGTCACACAGGGGCACCCAAGGGTATGCGGGTCAGCTGGGGCAAGGGGAACTGATGTCGCCCTGACCCGCCCTCAGGGTCCTGCCGGTGTCTCGGAGCTACCTGAGGTGGGGAGCTCCGAGAAAGCAGTCTCCTTGGTTCCTGCCATCCTCCAGCAAGCCTCCTTACTCCGCGCTGCCATTCATTCAAGAAACACTGAGCCCTTCCCTGATCTAGGTCCTAAGCCGGCTGGAACAACTTACCACACACTTGGTGACTTTTAACAACCCAAAATGAATCTTCTCACCTCTCCTGAGGCCAGAAGTCTGCAGTCATGGTGCCCCGGGGTTGGCTCCTCCTGGAGGTCCTGGAGGGATCTGTTCTGTGCCTGCTGCCAGAGCCCAGCAGCCCTTGGGTTGTGGCCACCTCGCTCCAATCACTGCTTCTGTCTGCACACCGCCACCTTTCTCTGGGCTCTGCCCCCGGCATCTCTCCTTTCTCCGACATGGAAACCCACCCTCATCCTCAGATCTTGGCCCAACCTGAGTCCTGGGTGATCACACACTGAGGTCCTAAGCTCAGTCCATCCTCAAGGCCCCTGCTTCCAGGAGAGGC